CTGTGAACTTCTTGCCTGACAAATTCAGCCAATCTAAACACACCACTCCCCCCTCTGAAGGAGCTTCAGTTCACTTTGTTACACTTGAGGATGTAACCACATATTCAGCATGTAATACAGTTGTTTAAAAATAAACCTGTCTGTATTTGATTAGTCTGCACTTCAGAATATTTTAGGGGAAGTGTGGCCTTGGTCTTGCTTATTTTACGTAATAGGACATGACGGTAGAAAATTTGAAAGATCTCAAAAAGATGCATGCTTGTTGGAGTCATTTAAAAAAGCAGACACAAGAAAACCTGGTACAGTGCATAGTTTCGTTCTTTCAGTTATCTGCAGCACACAATATAGGTAATATATAATAATACAATTTGACATATTCTGGTAAAAATGGTCTCTAGTTGTGGTCAGAAGGTCAGTATAATCTGTGATGTCCACAAAGGAACATTAGTATTTTGTGATCAGTGGGTCTTGATCAGATTTAGACTGTTCCTGTGCTCTCACGTTTCATTTTAATGAGGGTTCAGTGATGAACAAAGCGCCTTAAATGATCACATCTGCTTTGAAGAGGGGGACGTGATCAGAGAAACCCACACCTGCACTGTGTGTGTGTGGCTCAGGTTTTGCCTACATATTGGGATCAGATCTCCCCCATACAGACCTGAAATCGGGTACAAAACGGACAGGTTGTTTGTATGATTGTAGTTAAATATATATACAATTTGGAAGAAGGTGTTTTTTGTAATAAATAAAAATAATAAAAGTATTTAGATCAGTTCTATCACAAAGATGGTGCTATGATTTTATTTGCGTCTGTCACTTGCTGTTTTTCCTGTCTATGGATCTCTGTTTGGACAGGCACCCATATGTTGGGCTTAATTTCATCTACCGGCTTTCATTGTTTGTATGCTGCTCACTGTGTCCCATCTGTATAAGTTGACAGGGAATTATAATACAAATGAATTATACTGTGTCTCTTCTCTTTATTATGAGTGAATCTGAGTTTTGTCGGATGGGCCAGCGCTACAGGGGTGACATTGTCATCAGACTATTCAGATGAGTCTACAAAAGCCCCTTCACACCTGCACCTACTCTGCATTTCACAGCCCTCTTCTGATGTGCCTTCATTTGTTTGAATGGACCTTCACAGACGTGAGCACATCATATTGTTCTCTGTGCTGCTTTAGATGGTGCTGTAAATTGTTTGTGGTGCCATGAGATGCACCAATATGTTTTATCGAACTGTTCCTGAATGCTAGAAAATGTATTTATGTAAGAAGGATGCATTGAACATGAAATAGGGCTTTTTTAAAAAAATGCATAGTTCACTCAAAAAAAAAAAAAAATCATTATTTATTCATCATGTTTTTCCAAACCTTTATGACTTTCTTCTTTGGAACACAAAAGAGAATTTTGAAAAATGCCTCAGTGTTCCATACAATAGAAGTGTGGTCTAATGTGGTTTTGGACTCCACTGACGTTCATTCTATAGACAAAAAAACATTTGAGACATTCCTATAAAGGTTATTTAACTAGTAATTTAGTCAACCCACTTAAAATAGGATTTTAAAAGTATGTAGTTTTGCTCAACCCCGTTTAATTATTCTTAACAGAATTCATGATATTGGATTTTTGCTGATATCTGATATGCCGATATTTTTCAACTCATTTTGGCCGATAGCCGATACAATATATTTTCTTTTGTTTCGAAACAACACCAAGTCTCTCCTGTGCAGAGATTATAAACAAATTATTTTTAATTTTGGTTAATATTTAACAAAAAAGTACTTGTTAGAATTAAATAAACAATAATGAAGTTCTATTATAATGAGAGTACATTGAAAGCTTTGAAAATAACTAAATCACTGCTTTTTTTTCAGACAGATGCAGTGGTATCCTTAACATTTTATTTGTATATTTAACATTTGTAAATGTTTTAAAGCAAAAAAAGTTGTAAAAGTTTTGAAAATCTTTTAGACCTCCTTGAATCTTAATGTTATTTGTGCATTTTACTTTAATTTTATTACAAGTAGGGCAACATACTTCGATGCTTTTGCGTTCTCTTGCGAAACTTTGTACATTCTGTTGCAAAGTATTGCATTGCAAAGCAGACGTTTCGTGAATGAACTCATGGGCTCCATACTTTTCACTACATTAAGCACGATCATCGCTTGTAACTTTGCCGGCAAACACAAGAGGAAAATGGACAGCTTGGTCCATAATTCATGGAGGCTCAGGCTTTAAAGCTTGATTATACTTTGTACTTGATGTATGGATAGAAACGCCTTCCATCTTCTGTTTCCAAAAGCTTCCTCAATGCTGTTTAATATGGCTGGGATGGTTAATATAATTTTGATTGAGCACTTAGCTGCTTTCCATTGAGCTTTGAAAGTGCACTGGCTCTAGTGGTTTTCATATTGCTGTCCAAATTGCCCACTCGGTCGTGTAGGTTTTGTGGTTTTCTCAGTGCTGTTTATATTGCCTAATGGGTTGCTATAGGTTTGGTTGTTTGTAGAGTGCCATCCAAATTGATATTTTCACAACTGTTCTCATGAAAAAAAGCAAGGAAAAAGATACAATGGATAATGCACAGAAACGGCCCGTGCGGCATGATTCGGTTGAGTAGTAATAGATTTGTCTCACTTTTGAAGTGTATAGTTACCTCGGCCAGAAACTAGACCATTGTTTTCAAGCAAATGACAAAACTAACAAGTAATATGTAATTAGGCAAAATATGAAAAAACAAATAAAACATATTTTATTAAAGGGGTCATATGATGCGATTTCAATTTTTCCTTTCTCTTTGGAGTGTTACAAGCTCTTGGTGCATAAAGAAGATCTGTAAAGTTGCAAAGACTAAAGTCTCAAATCCAAAGAGATATTCTTTATAAAAGTTAAGACTTGTCCACGCACTCCTAAAATGCCTCGTTTAAACACGGCCCCACATGTCTATGTGACTGATCATAACGCACTGCATAGCTGGCCAATCAGAGCACACCTTGCTTTTCAGACCGATGAGCTTTGTAAAAATAGACCCATTTGAGAAAGGCGGGGCATAGAGGAGCAACAATAATGTACATTATGTGGAAAATAATGTGTTTTTTGAACCTTAAACCGCATAAACACATTTCATTACACCAAATACACCAAATAATGTTCTTTTTAGCAAATAAATTTAAAGCAAATTTTAATTAAATATGAGTAATATACACACTGCTGTTCAAAGATTAAAAAAAAAAGAAATTTATGCTTTTATTCAGCAAGGATACATTAAATTGATCATTCATAATTTACTTTAATTTAAACATTTATAATCTTACAAAAGGTGCTTTCAATTCATCAAAGAATCCTGAAAAAATGTGTCATGGTTTCCACAGAAATATTAAGCGGGACAGTTTGACACCTGAAGACTGGAATAAAATAGAAATACAAAATAGAAAACTGCTGTTATTAGAATAGAGAAATACTTTTACCCCGCAGGGCATGTAGTTACAGTATCCACTAGCAGAGGCTAACGGGCCTTGCCAAACTTTGACCTTTGAACTTTGGCTTTGTGTGTGCTGCATACGGTCACCGGGGCCTCCGTGTGTGCCCAGGCCACAGGCCGTATAAGCTGCTCTCTTTTTGTCCGAGTGTCAACGTCGCCATGAGCTGTGTTCAGAGGGAGAATATTAAAACAGCTTCTTATGAATAGAAAGTCATAAAAGAGCCTGTGCTTAATTAATAATGGATGGATCACTTGGGGGGGAAGCGAACAGGAAGGCTATTCTGGTGTTTCAGCCAGTGTTTCAGCTGACTGGCAGTGCCCTGCTGACCCGGTGCTCCAGTATCGCTCAGGTGTCATCCTCCGTCATTATATAATCTATGTACTATTAATCAATATTATTATGTATTATCATATTATATATATGATTTTATTTTATATAATATATTCTATGAACTAAACAATATTGCAATTTTATTTATATATTAAAGAACAAATTTTGCAAACAATAAAAATCTCACTGCTCTTTATTTGTTTATTTTCTATTTCTGTTTAATTATGTGTAATACACTACTGTTCAAAAAAACATTTTTTTTTAAATGTTTTTGAAAGATGTTTTAATGCTTACCAAGGCACCACTAGAGGGTAAAAACAGTAATAGTGTGAAGTGTGAAATATGTTTTAATTTTAAAATCACATTTATTTTTTTGAAATATATTTTAAAATGATTTTTTTCTTGTGATGGTAAAGCTGAATTTTCAACAGCCATTACTCCAGTCAAGATACTAATCATTCTGATATGCAGATTTGATCAAGAAACATTTATTTTCAATGTTAAAAACAGCTGCTTAGTATTTTTGTGGAAAGTGCAATCATTTGTTTCATAAAGAATTATTTGATAAATAGATGAAAAGTTTGATGAAAAAATAAAAATAACATAATTTAGTTTAATAGAGTTTATAAATGTAGTTACGTTTTTTTAATAATGTAAACGTATGTCACTTTTGATCAATTTAATGCATGCTTGCTGAATAAAATATTAATTTCTTTTAAAAAATCTACAAAAATCACTCTAATCTTACTTTTGAATAGTGGTTTTGTGTGTGTGTGTGTGTGTGTATATATACATTATATAATACAGTATTATTGCATTGCATATATGTGAAATGTGCTTTACATGTGTTGTACAGTAGCAATCCATTTGCTTTTAAACAAAAAAAAAATTCTAATGTTTACTTTTTTCAACAATTAGCAAAAAAGGTTAAAATGTGAATATTATAAAGCTATAAGCTGACTTTTCTTACTTACTTCTCCTTGCCGCACCTGTGCTTTTACCATGTAAAATACCTGTTTGAATTCATTTCTCTTCTGCTTGTTTCAAATGTACTTCCGCTTTAAGATCTTTTGCACCATGTATTTGTGTTATTGCAATCAACAATAATTCCCAGTTTATTTTTGGTAATGCTTATTTATGGCCAACGTAGCTGACTGCTCTCTTTTTTTGTGTGTCTCTCTGAAGGACCCGCGCAGTAAGCACAAGTTCAAGGTCCACACGTACTCCAGCCCCACCTTCTGTGACCACTGCGGCTCTCTGCTCTATGGACTCATCCACCAGGGCATGAGATGTGACCGTGGGTATCTCTCACTTTCCTTGATTTCCACTCAGGCACAGAGTAACACATAATCAACCAAGTAGAATACTTCTTTGCTTTTGAAAAAAGTTTTTACATGTTTTTATAGTCCAAAGCTGATCCCAGGATGCAAATTATTTTTGTGGAATGGATGTTGTAGGGTTGGCTGGGTATCAAAATGTAGGATTCAGTCTAATACCAACAAAAACATTTATTTTTTATTTTTTAATTTTTTTTATTTAAACAGATAAACTACAAAAGTCTGGGGTCAGTAAGAAATTTGTACTTTTATTCAGCAAGGATGCATTCAATTGATCAAAAGTGACAGTAAAGACTTTTATGTTACAGAAGATTTCTTTTTCAAATAAATGCTGTTCTTTTGAGCTTTATTCATCATAGAATCCTGAAAAAAAAAAACTTTTTACCATTGATAATAATGTTTCTTGAGCACTAAATCAGCATATGATTGAATGAATTCTGAAGGGTCATGTGACACTGAAGACTGGAGTAATGATGCTGAAAATTCTGGTTTGCCATCACAGGAATAAATTACATAATAGAATAAATATTATATAGAAAACTGTTATTTTCTGTATTTTTGATCATATAATTACAGCCTCAGTGAGCTTAAAGAGCAGGTCATATGGTATTTTAAAGTGTCCTAATATTGTGTTGGAGTCATTACCGTTTGCATTTTCGCTTTCGCGAACGCACAGTGACTGCCAAATTTCAAATGAAAAAGCAAAGTCCATTTGCAAGTGCATCAAGTGCATCAAGTGGTGTGCAAACGGTAAAAGGTCTTGAGGCAAGTGTGACGCTCTCTATTACGGATTAAATAATAATGGTGGATATGTTAGCCGAGTGCTAACGTGACTAACTGATGAAACAATACAGTTTGTAAACCAAAATAATGTCTACTGTAATGTATGAAGAACGACAGACAAAAAAAGACGGTCTGTCTTAACTTTTAATCAGAACGCAGAACAGCTCTATGGAACGATATTCCGGACAATTTTCAAAAGGAATTGCAAATTGTATTTTCAATTGGTAATTAATATTGCTATTTAAATATGACAGGCTCGTAACTCCTAAGACATGGGAAATACAGCTGCAAATGGACTTTGCTTTTTCATTTGAAATTTGGCAGTCACTGTGCGTTCACGAAAGCGAAAATGCAAACGGTAATGCAGGATTTGCAATTGCATTTGGATAATTTCACAATTTATGCATCCACATATGGAAAACGCAATTGAAAATACAATTTGCAATTCCTTTGGAAAATTATCCGGAATATCGTTCCATACAGCTCTATCACAGGCGCAGCAGCCTAACTAACTCTATTAGCTAACTTACTCGTCTCTCCCGCATTAACCCTATAGCTGCCGGTGCAGCAACATAACATTTCACAATGATTATAAAGTCTGTGCGCTACACTACATCGTGTCCACAGCTAAAGTTAAGATTAGAGAAGCAGTCCTTGGTAAAATGACATGCACACAACAAAAGGTTCGAATTGTATTTCTGTGGTATCCTTGAACACAGCGTCTTCTCAACATGATGTAAACACACTAACTAGCGGAAGTGTTTGTGGGCAGGTCAGGCGGGGATTATGCAAATGTATTACCCAGTGACGTATACCGGTAACAGGAAAAAGATTGGAAAATATGACGACTCGATAAGGCGATTCAGAATCGACTCTCTCTTTTGAGAGACAATATCTTTATTTATCATGCACTTTTTTGATTAACAACTTTGCAGATTGTTTTCATTTAAGGATAGCTACGTTATAAACTGCAAAAGAGATATTTTTCAAAAACCCATATGACCTGCTCTTTAAGATACTTCTTTCGAAAACATTAAAAAATCTTACCAACTCCAGACTTTTGAATGGTAGTGTAGGCAGCATGAACTTTCTTTTTTCCCAGTCTCACATGCTCTGCATCTATTGTAATACCCACATTGGCTGTTATTGCAGGAATGATAATCAATTATTAAGTTCCACAATAAATGCATTCAACTTTTTCATGCGCAAATCATGCATTGATGCATTCTGACACCATTAACTTAGCATTAGCGCTCACATTTTACGTCACGCTCCTTGGACTGCTCAACTGTACTGAATAGCAACACATTGTTAGAATTCAAAATGTGCGAAATGTTACTGTGTTACTACTATTCAATGTTTTATGATCCCATTTGTACTGTATAACGTGCAACCCTAGTATATTGGTTGGGTGATCCGTGTGTGTTATGTATCCCTGCGAGGCGAATATCCTGAGAACATAACCAGGCTGTATGAAGTCCCACTCACAAAGCACCTGACTGAAAAGAGATTTTCCATCTCACGGTAGCCAGCCTCTTATCCAGTGTCCAATATATAAAACATTCAAAATGCTTCACTCGCTTAGCAGCTGTCCAAGCCTCTGGGGCACAGATATTCACCGCCACATACCTGATAGTTGGCTAACAGATATTCATTGATATAACAGCGTATTTTTCAGCAGCTCTTTACTCTTATTAATGAATGACAGGTGAGCTGACAGGTGGTGTAAAGATGAGGCGCTCAGCATCTTCACCTGAAACCTGACACAAAGTTGTTATGGTTGCAGACAGGGAGAGCTATAATTACCTTTGTTTAGTTTCCAATGCGTGCGTCGTCTTCTCCGGGGCCCTCTACACTGTTTACACTCCAGCTATGGCTTGCGCTCTGTCACACTTCTGACTGAACTGTGGAGAAGTGCTGCAGTGCATGAAGGAGTACAGTGTGTGTGAGAGTGTGTCCACAGTCATTTTCAGAAGTAGTCTGAATGCCAGAGTGCCTGTTTGGCTATTTGATATGTAAACTTATGTTGAGTCCGGCTGCTTGTCTTTGGCCTGTGGCCTCCAACACAACAAAAGCAGCATAACTGTGATTAGCATCTTCACTACTGCTTTGTTCTTCAGCCCCCACTGACCCTGCTGTGAAGATCAGTTTAGAGTAGTCAACCAGCCTATTTATTTATGATGGAGCTGGATGGCCTCGCTGGTTAATAAGTATAGCAGCATCCAAAACACACATGCTGGCGATGATTTTAGCAGGAGAGTACAACCTGGACTAGTTTCTATACAACCTTCAGAAAATACTGTTACTTTTTGGAATTTATGTTTTATGATTCCTGTGGCTTTGGTTTTCTGTTCATTATGTACCCCATTTAAAGAGACAGCGGGGTTAGGTTGGGTAGGTGAGGGAGGGTAGGTGGGGAAGTTGAATTTATATGTGTTTTCATGTTCCCATTATTAATATTATTAATAAATAATAAAAAAAGGAAAATACAGTTACTTTGTTCCATAATCTAGTGAGTCAACCCCTTGTCTACTGTATACATAAGCAGGTACCTTTTAGAACGGCAACTGAAATATATACAATGTACAATATGGTCTCAGAAAACAAGTACTGAATTTGGCTGCTACCTTTTCAAAAAATACTTATATGTACCATTTATCTGTATGTACCTTTAAGGTACTAATATTCACCTTTAGGTGTAAATAAGGTACAAAATACCTTCACCAAGGCTGCATTTATTTGATAAATATACAGTGAAAAACAGTAATATTGTGAAATCTTTTATTAAAAATAAAACATTTGTTTTCTATTTTAATATATTTTAATATTTAATGATAATGGCAAATTTTTAAGCAATGATTATACCAGTCTTCAGCGTCACATGATCCTTTAGAAGTCATTCTGATGTGCCGATTTGGCACTCAATAAATATTTATTATCAGTGTTAAAAACAGTTGTTCTGCTTAATGGTTTGTGCAAATGCTGATAAAATTTAAATCTTTTGTAGCGTACATTTCTATTCTGTCACTTTTTATCCATTTAATGCATTCTTCATGAATGAATATATATATATATATATATTTTGTGGCTATAAATTTGCTTTCTGGGATTGCCTTTGCTTGCAAAGTATACATTTGATGCAGTCTACATGTTGGTAGGAGACTTATGAGTCATGGCTGAACTGCCATTCATAGTTACAGAATTGGCTCAACAGGTCTTTGGTAGAAGGAAAGCACTTTCCCTTTCCGTCTGGCCTTTAAAAGGTCACACTTATATATAGATTAATGTATCATCTTTTACACAATGCGCATCTGTAAGTTGGGGTTGTGGTGTAACATCTCTCCCTCTTTCTGTCTCTCTTTATCCAGACTGCATGATGAACATCCATAAGCGCTGTGTGGCCAATGTGCCGAGTCTGTGTGGGACTGACCACACTGAGAGGAGGGGCCGCATCCAAATCACTGCAGAGATCAAGAACAATGTGCTCACCGTCAGCAGTGAGTCACCGCTGTCCACTCACACACATCACGGCTGCACACATGTGCATGGAAGCAAACACTCACTCACTCACTCACTCACTCACTCACTCACTCACAGCTTCCTAAATAATGCACCACTCGCTGGTGGATCCTGGACCTCTCGTTACCACACACATGCCTTCGTTTGACCCTTGAAGAACAGCCAAAAATGCACTTTATACGGCACATCTTGCATGAGTACATCGAGTTGAGGCATTAAGTATGCTGCTCTGAAGACTTGTGGGAATTTCCTAGAGTTTGATTCCTCCTAGTGGTGAATCCAAAGCAGCACTAGGTAGCAGGATATATTTAGACTAGCTTGCACCATTTCAGGGCTGCTCGAGCTGGAAATACCCAGTTGCATTAAAGAAATACCCAAAAATGAAAATCGATTGCCGGACATTTGTCATTTTCATTAGCATTACAGCTTCATGTGTTTAAACACAAGCGCTGACTGCTAGGACATGGCTCTGGAGCATAATCCCCCAAAAATTTAATGTTGTATCATACTTTGCCATAGTAATCTGAGCACAAACAGGTTATTGATATTAAAGGGATAGATCACCCAAAAATGAAAATTCTGTCATTAATTACTCACCCTCATGTAGTTCTACAACCGTAAGACCTTCGTTCATCTTCATCTTATTTACAAAATGATAATTTAGCAGTAACATGATATCAGTATTTAATTTTTTAAGTATCATGGTTATTGTCAACACTGGTGTACTGTATTGCAACACCCCTTGTTGTCAGTATTAAATATCGTTTGTTACAAAACCTCATTGTAAAAGAACTGTTTCCCATAGGGGGCAGAATATGATGGCAAGTTGTCTAGTTATAGTCTAGTCCATTAATAAAGTAAAAGCTAAATCCAAAAAGGCTGACAGCAGTGAGAAAAGGACACAAAGAAAGTAGCCCTGATGTCTAAAATGCAGCATGTGACAGTGATGAAGTGAAATGCGTTCCAGCTCATTGTGAAATTCTATAGGGTCACTCTTGTAAACTTGTATTACATTACACGTGTCCATGGCAACACAAGAAAGCACACTTAGTCTTCCTGTCTCTCCTTGGCATCAATACAAACACGCCTCCGAAACAAAAACACAAGCACACTGAGGAAATGGTCTCCTGTTGCAGCCTGTGAGAAGAAAAGACAGGAATATGATGATGCTTTCAGTGTCCAGCAGAGGGCGTTATTCTCATTCTCTTAGCACAAACCCGACTGAGAAAAGACTCGTGTGCGCTTGTTCACTCGACGATAATTCACCCAGTACAAAACTCCACTGGAAAACAGAAGTTGAATTTGTTTGGAAGAGCCTTCGCCCATCTGTTTCCATACAGAAACAATTCATAGTTCATTATTCACTTTATCAAACATTAATGTAGCTCTGAAATCTGAAGGTGTCATTGAACTTCACATACAAAAACCAGTGGCACTTGATGTTATTGATGCCCAACAGCCTGCAACGTTTGATTTGATAGCTGCATGATGATTTGTGTAAACTTGACTTTAAATTCTAGTCTTTTCATCACACAGAGCTATTGTATGACTTCAGAAGACTTCAGTTATGTTTTATGATGCAATTATAGTGCTTTTTTGGAAAATGTGTGAAGATTGTTCAATATTTATATTCCAAAACAGGTTTGTTTTGGACAGGTTTGTCATTTTTGTGTGATCTGTCCCTTTAGCTTGACTCTTTGTAAACCCTCCATGCTTTATATGATTGTTTTATATGATAATAGCTTTTCAAACATTTTAAATTATATCCATGATAAATTTCCACTTATTTGTTATTATATCTATGATATTAAACTATTATATCCATGAGGAATCTGCACTTGGTTCTAATTTCCACTTAGTTCCACTTAGTCGTACTTTCAGAGCAGAAGATGAGCTCAATTAAATGAGATTTCTGGAAGACAAACCAAGAGAAAATTGATCAGAGTGCAGTTAAAGGGATTGTTCAGGCAAAAATGAAAATTCTATCATCATTCACTCACCCTCATGTCGTTCCAAACCTGTATAAAAAAGTTTTTTTCTGCAAAACACAAAATTTTTTTGTTCATACATGAAAGTCAAAACCAGTCCAAAACAACATTAAACCCCACTGACTTTCATTGTGTTGACTAAAAAATAATCACTTCTAAATATTATCTTTTGTGTTCCTCAGAAGAAAGAAAGTCATACTGTTTTGGAACAACATGAGTGTGAATACAGAATTGTAATTCTTGGGTGAACTGCTTTCTGGAGGGCAGTAGGCCTGGATCTGTGCAGCAGTGGGTGTGTATATGTGACATTAGCCTCAACACACTGCTCTATATTCAGCCATGCATCCCTCTTTTCAAGCTCAATCCTGGGCCATTTCACCCCGCGAGCCTCAGCTCCCATTTTCCCTTAGAATTAACTAACAGCCTTTAGCCCGCTAGCGGCTAATGAGCTGAGCTGCACCATGTAAAGAACCGAGGCGCAGACAGCCTTGAGCGCAAAAGACATTTTTAATCCATCACGCTGTCCTTTATAATTTAATGTCACGCGACGGTGCCGCAGATCTGCTGAGCGTACAGTAAGATGAATGGCACCACTTCCTGTCGCACATTTCAAAGGCCTGTCACTTAAAGCTAATGAACTGACCAATACCTGGATGGAAATGGGGCGGCCGCTCTGCCTTTAAAAGGTCCTTTCCACCTCATCTTTCTCACACTCGCACTCTATTTGACCACCGGAGCTCTTGCTGGTTGAAAAATGTTAGTGAGGCAAACTGGGTGACCATATTTAGTCTGTTGTCGGTGCTTGTTATATGGCTTCTTTTTGTGAATAAAGACTTAAATCTTGCACTTAAAGGTGACATATGAAAATCGGACTTTTCCAGGTTTAAAAGTTTGTTGAAGAGTACACTTTGATGACTAACTTTAATGACTAATACAATTTTCAACAGAAATAACATTAAAGTATATTTTGTTACAATAAATGGTTGTCAGTACATTCAGCAGTACACTTTAAAGGTGACATATCATGAAAATCTGACTTTTCCAGGTTTTAAGTGCTTGTAATCAGGTCCCCGGTGCATCTACCAACCAAGGAAACATGAACAAGATTAACCCAGTAACTTTGTTTTGGGAAGCCTTTTTCTGCAAGCGTCTGAGAAAACGAGCGTGTCAGATTTCGCTCCCTTGGTGACGTGGCAAAGGGATCTCATTATAACTTTACCGCCCCTTAATCTGTAAGTTTCCACCCACGGTGCCGTTATTGTGTTTTCGCAAGCGACAACGGAATACTAGTTCTAATGCCATGGCGAAAGTTTAAGCAAAACATGCTAACTGTTCTGTCTTTGGCTGCACAGACGAGCACAGAACACTATTTAGAGTCCCAGCCTCAGAGGAGACGAGAGAGCAGTGGATTTATTGATTTATTTACTGTATATTGCTGCTGCCACACAGATCTAAAATAAACATGCGATTTATTTCCCAGCTGTTTACCTTCACAGACATAACCAACTATTTTGTAACTCATGTGTTTTTAACGTAAACCTGTGTGTGAATGAGAACTAGTTTAGTACTCACATGCTGTGACAGCTGCTTTCTGTCCGTGTGCTTCAGATGTGTGCTCTCAGAAAACCGTATATCAGAAGTTTAAACTCATATGGTTTAAAACGCATGATTTCAGAGCAATAAACATGCTAATCAGAACCAAAACAGATGTTTTTAGCAGGTCCGAGCTGTAATGGCGCAGCTCTATTCTGGAAAAAGGGCGGGGAGCAGCAGCTCATTTGCATTTAAAGACACAGGCCCGAAAAACAGCGTGTTTCTGCTTCAACTCAAAATAGGCATTTTCAAAACAATATAATAAATGATCTGTGGGGAATTTTGAGCTGAAACTTCACAGGCTAGATAAGACCCTTATTCCTCAGCTGGGATCGTGTAGAGCCTTTTGAAGCTGCACTGAAACTACAATTTGGACCTTCAACCCGTTGGAGGTCCACTATATGGAGAAAACTCCGGCAATGTTTTTCTCAAAAAACGTAATTTCTTTGCGACTGAAGAAAGAAAGACATGAAAATTTTGGATGACATGGGGGTGAGTAAATTATCAGGAAATAGTCCTTTAAAAGTATCTTTTTTTGTGTTCAGTGCAGTTTTGGAACAACTTGAGGGTGAGTAAATGATAAAAGAAATTTAAATTTTTTGAGTGAACTGTCACTTTAAAGGATCCCTCAGTTCTAGATCTCTTCGGACCACCAATAAAACTCAGAAGACCATTTGCTATTGAGTTGCAGTGCTGTTTTTCACCTAGAGGGAGCAGTGCTGCTTAATTATTTGCTAAAACTTTAATTATAATCCTACAGCCTTTTACACCTATGTCTGTTAGATTGATCAACTGTGTTATTCGCTACTATATAAATGAGATCAGTATTTTTTCAATCAACTAGGTAACGTTATGAGTTTCCCACATCTCTGAGCCACAAAACTAAGCGTATCTTGTAGGTCAAAGCTTTTGAAATCTTCATGCAAATATTCTTAAATGGTCAGTGATCCCGCTTTCTTAATTGCTCCGCGTGCAGGGCTTTCAGAACGAACATGCTGTGCGTAACATTTATTAGCTGGCAAAATAAACCCTGCTCTGTGAGCACGACGGTTCACGCAGAAGCCGTCTCTCTCTTCCTGTCTCCGTGCTGCAGTACACCGCTGCCTTAATGAACAGCTAAGCCTACCTTCACACACCACTCATTATGGAAATTACACTACCCACAAATCTCAAGGCCACAGCAGCCTCCTGCATTAATTGTTGTACTGGTCAAGTGCTGAGGTCGACCCCAATTACTGGGATAGTCTGTGTGTATTCGTAGCCCCACATGGCCATGAGGGTCCATGAGATATATAAGTATAAATGACTGACAGCTATTCACTCACATCTAGAGTCCATAGTTAATGCTTTTAAGGGGTAAAGGGTTCACATGGTTAAGATTTTATCAGACACTTGACATCCCATGCAAAACTTTTTTTTTCATTTTTATTCAGTATCTTTTTATTTTATTTTATTTTTAAATATTAAGACATCCTAAAAATATGATTAAATTACTTAAGAACTAAAATATGTATAAAATAAGTGTGAGTGTGTGTGTGTGTGTGTGTGTGTGAGTGTGTCTTTATGTACATATATATATATATATATATATATATATATACAGTATATATTTTATATATGACATCAGTGGTTCAACCGTAATTTTATGAAGCTACAGGAATACTGTTTGTGCGCAGAGAAAACAAAAAGAACCACTTTATTCCACGATTTCTTCTCTTCTTGGTCAGTCTGCCACTTCTGTCTGTGTTTCTGAGCCTTGAACGTGTCTATGCTGTCTATGAGCGATTTCATCAAAAATATCTTAATTTAGGTCTTATGGGTTTGGAACGACATGAGTTCACAAGTTTAGGGTCAACTTCAACAGTATTTGGAAGGCATTAAAATAACTTTGTAAATAACACATTGTTTTTTTGTGCTGGACTCTAAAAACATAAACAGTGCTTAACATATGCGATATTTATTGAACAAAACTCCAACAAATCTTTTTTATTTAACGTAAAGATTCACTTGGCATTGATTGCACACTATAAAGAGTGAAAGCAGGGAAATCTTGGTCCTTATATGTCTGATATAATCTCTATTTCTATGTTACAGTTAAAGAGGCGAAGAACCTGGTGCCCATGGACCCTAATGGACTCTCTGACCCCTACGTCAAACTAAAACTCATCCCTGACCCCAAGAGCGAGAGCAAACAGAAGACCAAGACCATCAAGTGCTGCCTGAATCCCACATGGAACGAGACCTTCACATTGTAAGGAAGCTCTCGCTCTGTTTCCGACCCTAAACATCAGTGGCACAGCCAAAAGATCAGTAATTTGTTTGTCTGTGAAATGCAAAATGAAATGTTGAGCTTGATTTCTTTGTCTCTGTCCGTCTCCCTCATGCGCTCTGTGTCTTACAGCAATCTGAAGGAGTCTGACAAGGACCGCAGGCTGTCTGTGGAGATCTGGGACTGGGACTTGACCAGCCGGAACGACTTTATGGGCTCTCTGTCTTTCGGCATCTCGGAGCTTCAGAAGCAAGGGGTGGACGGATGGTGAGGAGACCTGCTGACACACACATATATACATCAGTAAAAACGAGCAAGTCCCCATGGTCAAATAGATTGTGTACACACTAATATCAAAAGGCTTGTGTCAGCTAAACCGCATTGCATATCACAGGGTTTCGCAGACATGCAGCAGTCTATACACGTCTAACTGGTTCATTCGTCCCTGGATTTGAAGACTCTTGCTCTTTCAGAAGTCCTCAGTCTGTCTTTTCTCCCTCCTCAGTAGTGCTCTTCATCTAAGAGCTCTCCACTCCTGTTTTCCGCTCACACACACAGTCCCGTCCCTTCTCGAACACCTCTAAACGCATCTCTTGTCAGCTAGGATCGTCTCGGTTACGTATGGAGCCGGTGGTTGAGGCATCCGTGCAAACCACAGCATGCCTGGAGACCTGCTCCAGGGGCACTCCTGACGCGTCTTTAAAAAGATGTTCCACCCGTGAAGCTCTTTTAGATGGATTTTGCTCTTTTAGTGTGCTGAAGCGCACAGGGGAGATGGCCGTCTGCAACACACACAGGGGTAGTGCAGCCTGTTGTGTGCAACCCACTCGACACGGGAAAACCACCGCCGCTGAAGCGCCGTCCACCAGCACGAGAGCCCACGAAGAGCGTGCTTGACTGTAGTTTGTACTACTGTAGAACTTGGTCAGGAGCAGAACGATAGAACCGCTCGGCTCCGAAGCGAAAAGCTGAATATGCGCTGCATCTGCTGCCTACTTATACTCACGCTGTGATCAGCAGCAGCTGGATGCAATAATCGCATGCCAATGTGCATTGGCTCGTTTAGTTTACACTCGAAGTAGACTGGTCTCTCTAAGCGAGATCCCAATTCGTCGGTCATTCGACGTGACGTCGAGAGTGACCGACTGAAAGGGAACTGTGCATTTTTGCATCGCATGAGCCCCTGTGAATGCTTAAACGCAGGTAATTTGACAGAAGTGAGTTAAATGAGAAAGTTCAGATCCACTTTCACAGGAAATCTTTGCTCTGTCCTTCGTGTTCTCTCTCTGTCAGGTGTTAGAGCTTTATTTTTTTCTTTTGGTCTGTTTTGTCTAGTCAGTACAAGTATCTAGAGACTGAAGTGTCTAGTTCTTTCCCACCTAACAGAGAGTTCCCACAGTCATGGGATAGTATTATGTAAAGATTGTGTAAACATTAGGAAAACGTTAAAAATATATTAATTTCTGCGATGGGGTTTTTAAACTTTTAAATGCCAAGGACCCCCAAAATAATGATCACCTTGCAATAGACCCTTTTCCTTCATTTTAAATGCAGATTTGATGTATATAAAATTATTTATACTGTGTGAGAACAATATTAAGTTTAACATTAAAGGACAACATAAATAATATATAATCAATTTACTTTTTTTGTTCTAATACTAAAGCCAAAAAAGATTATTTAAATATTATGAGGAATTAACTTTTTTTTTTCTTCTGCAAAACATTAGGTGTTTTTACATTTTCAGTTTCAATTTTATTTGTGTTGTATTAACACTATAAAAGTTTTTCCAAAGCAGTTTAACAGAGCATAGGGCCAAACAACCATTTTGCAAGATAAAGAAGACAGTGGAGATGAAAAAAATCCCTAGAAAGATTAACGTGTATATAAACTGTTTATGAACATAAATAAACAGTTAAACACAAAATTAGATTTGTTTATTTTTTTACTGTAATGTTCATAATGAGTTTATATCTATTCAAGAGTACAACCCACTATTGAAAGATAATAACCATAAAGTTGCTCTTCATTGATTTACAGAAAAGGCCAAAATAATGCTTTTAAAGATGTTACGCTAACTTTAAAATGACTTTCTGCTTGCCTTAAGCCACCTCATTGAAGCATAAATTTTGAGTATAAATTTATGGAATAGTACACAATGGAAACACAAAGAAAGCGATCGATTAGTGAGATCGACTAGTTTTGTTTTTGTTTCCCATTTTTAGTTTTGATTCTCAGTGGCTGTGCTCATAGTACACATCCCTACTGGCTACTGTAGCTGGTGTCTCCTCTCTCTGTGTGTTTTCTCTACAGACGTGACTTTTATCAGATGGTTTGATGAGATGTGTGTACGTGTTTCGGGAGGGTGTTTCAGAGGTTTTGTAGCTGTTATGAGCTTCTTTGTGACTGTGATGGCTGCTTCCTGCCACCTGACAGAAAAGCACAGAGTGTCAGATTAGAGGCGAGACGTTTCCGCTCCCCAGTGGACCTTCAGTCAGGACAGATCCACATGATCACAATCTCATTGTCAGAGCTGTCACTGTCTCAGCACAACACTCATTCAATGTTTGCAAAAGGACATGGAGTCTGAGAACAGGGATAGTTTGAATGTAAGAAGAGAGAATGTCCTGAAAGAGCAACTTTGTTGAAGTTTTTTTTTTCTTTCTTTTTTTTTATAGGATATAAAACAAATATGATTATGATTGTCTAATCACTCAACCCTAATCACTGTGCTGCAACACTCATATAACATAGTACTTGTAGTATACGTTTTGTGCTATTATATTATATTATATTATATTATATTATATTATATTATATTATATTATATTATATTATATTAAAGTGAAACGTTTACACTTTTTTAGATAAATGGTCAATCAGTTGACTATTGATAATTTTAATTGTTTAAATAATTTTGTTCACTTTATTTCTAATTGTATCTTGATATTAAATTGCTGACGTTTCAGTTCTATTCTCATCTGATTTCTGGATTACTTGATAGTTAAAGATAATTTATAGATTGGTAGAAGTAAAACTGTCTTTTCAATGCCAAAACCATATAGAACGTCTTTGGCTCATGTATCTTCATTTGATGATATTAAGTCTAGGATGGATACCTTTGAAAGTCAGTGTGAGAAATTGAATATTTATGACCTCTATTCTGCATGTAGTGATCATTAACTGCCCATCGCCATGTTTAGCCATGACCTACAATAAAGGCAATCCCAGAATTCAAATTTAGTGTCACTTTTTATATATACTTTTATATAATATTTATATATTTGTTATATACTTACTATTTTATTCAGCAAGGGTGCATTAAATTGATTAGAAGTGACAGTAAAGATATTTGTTACAAAAGATTTCTATTTTTTCTATTTTCCTATTTTATTTTATTTCTCGTTTTCTATTAACTCTCTGGTGCTTTTTCCCGTTAGGATTCTGGACCTGCAGTGGCTCATCAGTGCCTTCACCACTAAAAACATCACACAGTAAGAATTAAACATACATTTATGAACACACAACTGTAAAGTAGGTGATAAAATTTAAAGGGGACATTGGATGCAAAATTCACTTTTACATGGTGTTTGAGCATAAATGTGTGTTGGCAGTGTGTGAACACAACCACCCTACAATGATAAAAATCCACCCACTCCTCATTTTTTAATCCCCTTTAAACCAAGTCAGTCTCACTAGGCCTGCTGTTTTGATTCTCATGCAGTGTGACGTCACATTGCATAGGGCGGGGCCACTGGGGTTGATTGACAGCTCTGCATTGCTATAGTTTCCATTGCTGTCCATTTTCTCAGCGCTCGAGCAGCTGTAATGTCAACAATGTCTCGCAAGCAATCCCGATGCTCTGTGTTTGGATGTAAGACTGAACATAAGAGTCTTCATTTTCTCCCAACATCTGAGCTGCTGAGGACGCTGTGGATTACTTTAATTTTTCAAGGTAATGTGCCTCAAAATCTGCCTAAATACGTGTATCACTCCAGACTCCTTTGTGAATGTCGTGTTGTTATAGTGCTTATTAGCGTTTTAACCGTATTTGTGTGCGTACATTAAAGGGGTCCTATTATGCTTTTTCACTTTTTCAACTTTATTTCCCAAGGCAGACAAACTTAGAGTGGTTACAATCATCCCGGTTTAAATCGCGCTCAAATTTAATTGATTTTGACGCAATATTTACACTGAAGCTCGCAGGCGGCTATGGTAAGGGGCGTGACATAATAAATGTATCCTTGATTAAAAACAAAACAAACAAAAACATTGATAATAGGAATAAAATAAAGACTGCTGCCAATCACAACACACACCGACCCAGCTAACCAATCACAGCACATTTCAGAAGGCGGGCCTTCATTTGATACAGGACCTATTCAAGTCGTTCATGCCAGACTGGGGAGAGAGGTGTTGTAATAATGTAAAATGTGTGAAAAATAATGTGTTTTTCGAACAACCTAGTATGAGAGCCTGTTCTAGTACACCCCCAAAACAAAATCAAGACTTTGTAAAAGAGCATAATAGGACCCCTTTAAGTATTTTTTAACTAATCAGCGCAGCGCTTGTGAGATTAGTTTGCGCCGTTCATAGCGCGAGATTCGTTCGGTCGCGTGGCTCGGTCCATTGATCCGCACCGATGACAGGTCAGCGCGGCGCGAGCTCTGTAACATCGTGCTGTTTCATCCCACTTTCAGTGCATTTGGCTTCCCATATGTACGGCTAAACAATGGTTCTCTTGCTCTCAGTCATGTTGCTTCTACCAGCTATTTATTTCTGTAGATATGCAATGCAGAGAGAC